AGAGGGCCGCATTGGGGGTGCTCTGCCGGACCCCCAGCAGGTGGCGTAGGTAGCTGAGTTGCAGCTTCTCGGCCGCGCTGCCGGCACTGCCACGATGGCAGCACGCCGCTTTGGCCGCCAGCTGCACGCCCCACACCTCAGCACCATGGGACAGCACCGAGTCCACCATGGTGCCGAAAAGCCGCAGCTGGACGGGCGCCGCCTCGATGCCCACCTCTGCGCAGCGGGTCCGGCAGTTGTGCATAGCCAGGCGCGCCAGCTGTGCCCGGGCTGGCGCTGCTGCCCCTGCCAGGCAGGTGCTGGAGTGAAAGGCGATGCCGAGATACTTGAAGCTGGTGACTGCCGCCAGCTGCTGGCCGACGAAGGTGAGGCCTGCTGCCTCTGCTGTCTGCTGCGCCGCGTGCTGGGTCCGCCGCCCACTGAGCAGCATGAGCTTGGTCTTGTCGATGTTGACAGTGAGGCCCCACTGCCGGCAGTACTGCTGGAGCAGGTTTAGCTGCCGCTGCAGCCCGGCCGCTGAGGTGGCCAGCAGGACCATGTCGTCGGCGTACAGCAGCAGCGGCACCGCGGCGCCGCCGCTGCCGAGGAAGCTGGGGAGGTCGAGCTGCTCGCCACGCCGCGCCACCGCCATCAGCTCCTCCTCCAGGTCGTCGATGTAGAGGCCAAAGAGGGTGGGGCTGAGGGGGCAGCCCTGCTTCAGGCCTGTCACGGCCTGGAAGCAGGGCGACAGCCCGGCTGAGGTGCGCACCGACATGGGGACGTTGCTGTACAGCGCCTGCGCTGCCGCCAGCCAGGCTGTGTCCACACCGCCAGCCAGGCTGTGTCCACACCTCTCCAACTGGTCCTCACCCCTGAATTTGTGGCGGCCGCGACCGACCCGGGTTCGATTCCCGGATGGCGCAAATCCGAATAGTCAGCGCTATTGGTGTAGTGGAATCACGGTCGCCTACCCTTTGTTTGTGTGCCAGATTTTTTTTTGTGTCCCAGATTTTGTGTCCCAGATTTTTTTGTGCCCCAGATTTTTTGTGTGTAACAAAAAATACCTTGACTAAACATGCGCACCTTTTCTGCTCCTTCTGCCGCTGCTCCTTCTAATGTGCTGGCTCCCCGCCAACCAGTGTGGGCGGGTGCACCGGGAGCACGGGTGCACGGGTGCGGAGCACGTGTTGCATACAACATGCTAACATGCAAGTCTCGAGGATAAAGGTAAAGGTGGGGAAGAGCCTCCACAGGCTTAACTTCCCGGTTTTAACGTCTAGCTTTAGACCATTATTTGATCTGCCCGACGCGCCAAGTGCAGTACCCCCCACTAGTAGTGAATGGGTCCCGGGGAGGCCTGTGCCGAAGCCTTGGCGATTCTATTAGGCGTTCCCGAAGGAATTGGCTTGGATTGGCGCTGAGCCGGTCAGCTATGCCGCGTTTGTCCTCACAAAGTTTCGACATGGGAGGAATCGAACCTGTGCCCTCTCGGAGGGTTTAGACACTAGCTCCAGCGCCTTCAAAGAAGGCCTTTCTTAGCCGCGGTCAAGTGCGTCCCCTTGTTTAGGTACGGTTGCGCTGGCATTGCCTGAGCTTGGGAACAGGTGGGAAGGGTGGCAGCAAACAGTAGTGCTTCTGGCAGGTGAGGGGGGCCAGGCAATGGCATGTCGGTGGCATGCACGGTGGTCTTGGGTGATGGGGTGCGCGGTAAATGGCTGCAAACCGCCAGCACCTGCGTTTGGGCTGCTGTGTGACAGCAGAACAGCTCCCCTGCCACCCCAATTCCCAATTCCCAACCCACAAATTTTACTTTTTCGAACGATCGAATCAATCAAAGCGCGCCCGCGGATATTCGAACAGCCTGCAGATATTTTCATATCAGCAGACTGACTTTTCACCCACCTGTCACAGATTTTCCCTCGCGCGTTCGGTTTTTTGCCGACAGCTGGCTAGCAGCCAGACTATATAAGGAGCCTCGATGCCCTGACAAGATCATCTTTTCTCTCCCTTTGTGCTGGAGTGCCCCTGTGTAATAACAGGCGCCCGCAGCCCCAGCCCCGCCCGAAGGAGAAGGATCCTGCCGCTGCGACCAGCGCTCGGCAGTCACCCCAGCGCTCTCAGAGGGGTGTCAAGCAGAATGCTCTGGATAGGCTTGATACCACCGGAAACGCGCACGCTTCGCGCTTCTGCCCTTCTAAACTGTTTCAGTAGGGTACATGTGCCATTTTGGAAGCGCGGGGCCCCTCAAAACCGCTCGCCGCTGGCAGCGGTTGGGGCGCAGCACACGCAGCAGACGCCGCCTGGGAAGCCATTTTCGCCCCCCAGCCGCCCCTTACACCCTCGGGCCGCGGCTAAGAAAGGCCTTCTTTGAAGGCGCTGGAGCTAGTGTCTAAACCCTCCGAGAGGGCACAGGTTCGATTCCTCCCATGTCGAAACTTTGTGAGGACAAACGCGGCATAGCTGACCGGCTCAGCGCCAATCCAAGCCAATTCCTTCGAGAACGCCTATTAGAATCGCCAAGGCTTCGGCACAGGCCTCCCCGGGACCCATTCACTACTAGTGGGGGGTACTGCACTTGGCGCGTCGGGCAGATCAAATAATGGTCTAAAGCTAGACGTTAAAACCGGGAAGTTAAGCCTGTGGAGGCTCTTCCCCACCTTTACCTTTACCTTTACCTTTACCCGGCAACCATCCAAAACGGATGTACGCATTGCCTTATGCGATTTGAAACTGCTGGGCAGCAGTTTCACGCAACAGGTAGGGGGCCCATCGCATGCTGCTTCGCTGTTGGAGGCCCTTCCCGGGCTGGCGCTCTTGCAGATGATAGATGGTAGCCTAGCGATGCATCAGCGAAAAACAGCGCCGCAATCCGTGCAGCACCGAGGCTGCCACAGGCCTGGAAGCCTATCCAGAGCATTCTGCTTGACACCTCTCTGTCAGGCCCTCGTCATCTCCCCCGCCGCCGCCTGAATCATGCGTTGGGTTGTCCGATTCAACACTGCACGGTTGTCGCGCTTGGGCTCGGCACCCTCAAAAACAAACGGCAGCGCAGCGCAGAGAGCTTGAGTCGCCGAAGCGGGACCCCCTGCAGCTGCGGCGGCCCGGCCGCAAGGAGAGGGCGGCGGGGCCCTCCGGCGGGTCGGCAAGTTGCTGCCTGGAACAACACCTGCGGGTGGTGGGTGACTGTCGGACTTCCTCGCCAGGCGGGTGAACAGGCTGAGTTCAGAATGGGTGTGAAGTGCCCCCACAGCCTGACGCACCGGTGTTTGATGCGATAGACGGGCAAAAGTTCTGCGCTGCACTGGGCTGTGCCGCCCCGCCCGCCGCGCGGTGCAAACAGCTGCAGGTACCCGCAGGCAGTGCACGCCTGCAGCTGGCAAGCAACAGTGCAGAATGGATCATTTGCCGGCGCCAGCAAAGGACAAGGCGCACATCGGCAAGCGGCTGTACAGAATCGGTCAGCGGCGGGCGGCGGCGGGCGCATTACATTGAAGCAGGTGGGCGAGGGCTGGAACGGAGTGCGGCGTGGGACTGGTAGCGGGTGCTTGGACGTGGGGATGGTGGCAGCTGCATACCGCCAGCCGAGCACAGGCCGTGCCGCCTGCCTGTGGCCATGCATGCCAGCAAGTGCGGGGCATGGAGCCAGCAGCAGCAACACACATGTGTCGATGGTGCTCTGCACCGCACAGAAGAAGCACCAAGGCAACATTTCATTACATTATATGTAGTCTGTCTTTGGTCAATCACTGAACCGTCACAGACTGTTATGCATGCGAGGTGAAGGTGGAAGATGAATGGGTGGGAAGAGAGGGAGTACAGACAACATGAAAACTGGGAGTAGAAAGCACAAGCAGAATGTGTGGGGGTAGGAAACCGGGGCCAGGCAAGCAAGCAACAAAAGAAAGCAGACAAAAACAGGAGGAGGGGGAGGGGGAGAGAGGCAGGCACAACAGGAAGTTAGGAGTTAGTGGCGGTGCAATCTGTACAGAGCACCACAGAAACTGGAAAGTTGGATGGCATCAGGGAGAGTGAAAAATGCATACACAGACTCAGTATGTGCAGGGGTGAAAAGCAAGGGGTACTGAGCGCGCAGCTGCGCAGCCCGTGGGCATCGAAACAATGCGTGTTGCACATCCTCCACATGCCGCTCGCCCGCTGCCGCACAATGAGAGTTGGAGACACCAAATGAGGACGGTTCGAACAGGTGCCGTGTGGGCTCTGCACTTTTTCTGGCGGCGGCGCCTGCTCGCCACTGGCTGTTGCTGCTGCGCTGGCACCGCGCCGGCCGGTTCGCCGCCATCAGCGGGCAGCCCTTCATCAGTGGTGCTAGCATGCACGTCTCGGGGAAGAGCATTGCCCTTTGTTAAGGTAGGATTGCTACAGGTGTGAGCTGGCCATAGGCGCTGCACCTGGGCGGCTGTGAGCGGGGACCAGCGGCGCCAGAGGCGGTAAAAGGCGTGCCGCATCAGCGGGGTGAGGGCCAGGCGGTGCAGCGGGCGGGTGCGCGGGCAGGCACAACGCAGCTCAAGGAAGCGGGACAGCGAGATGGCACCCGCATCCACCACCTCCGCCAGCTGTCCCTGCGGCGGCGGCGGCGGCGCTGCGGCGCCCGCCCGCAGCTCTGATGGTGCCGCCTCCTCCGCATCCATCCGTGCCGCCGCTGCTGCTGCGGCAGCCGCTGCTGCTGCGGCAGCGGCTGCATCCTCCTCGTCCTCCGCCTCCAGCTCTGCTGCCAGGGTGCAGTGGCTGCTTCTCTGGCAACAGGGAGGCCTGGAGCTGGCGCCCTCCGGCCCACTGCCTGTATGTACGTCCTGTCCGGGGGGGGGCCTCAATCGATCATGCTGCTGCGCCCCTCAATCGATCATGCTGCGTGTGCCAGCTGAGCTGCCGCCACCGCCGCTGCGCTGCGTGCCATCCATCGGTGTTTTTCGTGCTGCACCGGGGCTCCCGTCAGAGACTGCCCTCCAAATGCCTTGCAGGTGTGAAGCCCTGGTGCCGGCTTCCACTCAGCTCGTGGCGAACCCCAGCGCTGCCCGCCAAGCCAGGAGGCCACGGGCGAAGGCTGCTGCTGCAGTGCCTGGAGACGCCCTATCGTCAGCTGCGATAGCTGGTGAGGCGACACCATCACCCGCCTGTGCCGCTGCGCGGCCGCTTTGCAACCCTACTCCGCCACCCGCCTGCAGGCGACTGCGCCGCAGCTGCAAAGGAGGAGAGCCGGGTGAATGCGCTGGGCCAGCAACTGCGAGACTGGATAGAAGATGCGGGCGGCTACGTCCACCCAGCGCTGCAGCTCTCAATGGCCACACCCTACGGCAGGTACGTTCTGCGGCGCCGCCTTCTGCTGGCGTCCCGCTTGCGGGTCAGGAAGACAGCGTCTGCCTGCCAAGTGCTTGCGGCCAATGTAAAGCACTGCACCTTTGCAAATTGATCAATCATCGGCGGCCTTGCAGGGGTGTCGTGGCAGTGGAGGCCGTCGTGCCTGAGCAGCGGCAGCCGCTGATTGCCGTGCCGGAGCGCCTGCTTCTGACGACCGAGGTGGCGGCACAGCAGCTGGGCCCGCTGCTGCTGCGCCAATTGCAGCCGCCGGCGCCGCCGGGGGCGTGGTGGCCCCTGGGGCTGCGGCGGCAGCAGCAGCAGCACCGACAGCAAATTTCGCAGGCAGACCCCACGCTGCTGCTGGCGCTGCTGCTGGCCTCAGAGCGGGCCAAGGCCTCCGCCAGCCCCTGGTGGCCGTACATTGCGGCTCTGCCAGAAGACATCCCCTGCGGCTGGGCGCTCAGCCAGAAGCAGCTGGCCGCTGAACTGGCAGCGCTGGGCAGCATGGCCAGCGATTGGGCGCCGCAAGTGCGGGCGGCGGCTGCGGCCGTTGATCGGCAGGCGGCGAGCGCGGTGGCAACCTGGGGCAAAGAGCTCAGCGTATCGGCAGCTGATGTGCGGTGGGCACTGGGGCACGTTGTATCACGCAGCTTTGGCTCAGGTGGGCAGCGCAGCGCAGTACTGCTAGTGGTGCTGTTGTCGCCTGGCTGCATTCTGGCCTGCTTGCTGCAGCACCTGAGCACCCAGCCTGTTCGCCGCAGGCGCCGATCTGGCGCTTCTGCCGTTCATAGACTGCTGCAATCATCAACAAAATGCAGCCACGCCAGAGGGGTGAGCAGACGCCTGGGGCAGGGTGCACGCATCTTGTTGCCGGCTCTTCGGGCGGTACCGGTCTGGCATCATGCCCAGTGATCGGCCTGCAGGCAGCTGCCCTGCTGTGGACACTGCTGTTCTGTTGGCCCGCAGGTTCACCACTTCTGCTGGGGAGGCATGCGCAGCAGTGCACAGCCGGAGCAAGGGAGCTCTGCAGGCGCTGCCACGTGGCACGGAGTTTTGCGTCTCGTACGTCGCAGGTATGCCATTGAATGGCCGCCTGAAAATGGGGCTTGGTCTCCGGGGCCTTTTGTGGATCTGAGGCTGACCTCACAGAGAAATTCTTTGCACGCACAGATAGCTGCCGCCTGCGGCCTGCCACCTTGTGCCTGCCACCTTGCAGTGCTTGTGATTTGTGCCGTGCCCCATCTGCTGGTGCAGGCACCTCGCCGCTCAACATGCTGCTCAACTTTGGCTTTGTGCCCCATGAGCACAGGCGCTGATTATTCCCCAAGCACCCTCAGCAAGCAGGTGCCTGTACACGTGCCGCACAGTAGCGCGGCGCTGCGCATGGGTATTTGTAACAGCATTGGTGGCCAGGCGGAAATGCAATTTACAACTTGTAGATTGTAACTTGAGGTTACAGCAGACTTGGAGATGTGCAGGAAGGCGGCCAGGGAGCTTCAAACACGGCTGGACAACCCAACATCGGCACAGCTGGCCAGGTGCCATGGCATGACGTGGGGCAATCAGCACTCGAGTGGGCTGCTCGGAAGCTTGGCTTGTACCACTGGGGCTGTCTCTGTGTTACAGTCACCCCGCTATGATAGGCCGCGTGAGCAAACCTTGGGCAGGGGGCACACGTGATCAAGGGGCATCAAGAGAGGGGGTGGACCAGTATGGTGTGTCAGTATGGTGGCCATGTTCCTCAAAGTCTTGCGTACCATCTTAGGGGGTGTCGGTGCTGGACTGGCTTGCTATCAAATCATGCCCGCCTCGTGTGAGCTCGTGTGAGCCTCGTGTGAGCCTCGAGGCAGCCTGCAGACCATGCACATCGCCTGCAAAAAGCGGGGCCGCTCCTCCTGCCAGCCTGGGCGCCCGCGACGCGGCGGCGGAGGCTGGTCATCGCTGCCCAGAAGCGGGAAGGGCTATTGCGCGCCGTTCTCTGTAAATGTAAACGACGGTTGGGCAACAAAGGGCCGTTCCCTCAGCCCGCGCGGGCCCAGCGGGGCCATACGTGTGGCTCGCCTCCTTCTCAATCGGCCCTGAAGCTTAGAGGCGCGTGGCATGTTCCCACCTGATGCTCTGCACCACGCCAAAGGACGGCATCCGCCTCGGGGGCGGGACATGTTCGGCAAAGTGTGGATGGCCTTAATAAATTCGTTGCTGTGCCCTCGCATGAATGTTGTGCCGTAAATTGGATGAAATCAAGTGATTTAATGAACCTCTGACCGAGAACTTGGCGGCATCATGGAGAGCACAGCAGGGCACAGCACGTGGAAGGTGCTCTGCAGTGGCTTGCATTGGCGTCATTTAGGGCCCACTGGCCTCTTCTTGATGATGCACATCCGAATACCACAAAGGAGCCGGCAGTCATCGTTACATGGCAAGCAGAGGGAAAGCGTGGACCAGGCGGTTGTGAACGATGCGAGAGAGGTCACCATGCTTGTGTGGGCTTAAAGTCTGGTAAAGCAAGAACTAGCTTGCAACATAGACTCCCCGCCGAAACGGGACGGGAACCGGGCGAAAGCAGAGAAAGCAATAAAACAGGGGTGGAGCAAGGCGACATGCAACGCAAGCAGCTGACAGGGCACGCATCGAAACGTGTGTATGACTGGCAAAGTGGCATGGCGCATTGGGGAGAAACGCAACGGTACGGGAGCATGGGCTGGCCAAACGGCAGTGCGGAACGCTAGGTCACTAGAAAAGCAGGGAAAGGCGCACTATGTATGCAATGAGGGCAGCCCCGGCTCGGGGCCGTTGAGAAAGCAGTGGGCGGGAGGGGGGAGGCCCCGGTGTGGGCGGGCCCCATCGAGGGGGGATGGGGCGCGCAAGCGGCCAGATGGGGC